AGGTCCTCTATACTTCCATATGGCTCCCTGAACATCCGTTATGGTAAAGGTGCAGAACAGCCGGTATCTTTGCTCTAGGGACAACTATTTAGCCATAGATTGATTGTATTCTGTCCACGAAAAAGTTATTAAAAGCATCGACTATCGCTTTTGGGTCGGTTACAGTATTTTCACTAACTTTTATCGTGTCAAACTCTTTTTTTAGTGCTTTTGCTTTCGCTCTGTTCATAATTGCCCAAGTTATTTTTGTTTTATTTGGAGGAGTGATTATTTTAAAATTATTTTAATTTGGCTGATTATTTTTATAGATTATTGTACATGCTTTTAACTTGTTTCTGTTCATACCATTTTTAATTCCATAGTAGATTAGTATTAGTATTATATTCTATTGTTGCTCCTTTTTGTAATTTTTTTTGACGGAAAAAAAAACATTTTATGATAACATAAAATTGTCTATGAATGAATTATATGCCGTAGGGAGCCTGGTAATCTGTGACCTGGAAGCCTGTAAGCCTGGAAGTTTTTAACTAAGTTACTATTATACCTATTATAGATAGTTCAAATCAGATGTGCGCGCGGCCCTATGTGTGGGTAAACCTTGTACATATACAGTGACTTTGTGTGCGTGACAAGAGGTACAGTCGTACAAATACAAATATAGTTATTTACGGGTTATATACGGGTTTTTTAAAAAAAAGTTATTTCGTAATGTAATGTTTATTTATTGAACATTATTCTGAATCGCTACTTGAAAAATCAAATGATGAATTTTCGGATTCGCTGCTCTCACCAAGGTTAATTATGAATTCTGACTCCATGTCAAAATGTCTATAGTATTCTTCTTCTTTCTTTTGTGCATGTCAACAAGTATTACCCCACATCCCTTCATCAATTTGACTTAAACGTTCATTTATGAGTTTCATTATTTCACATTATGCGAAGCAATATAATTCTTTAAAATTCCCCACACATTTTCTATGGGGTTTAGTTCATAATGATATGGTGGCAGTCGAAGAATTTTTATGCCATATGGCTGAAGTATGTCGTCAATCTTGTAACAGATATATTTTTCTTTATTTTTTTTAATCAAATCATACAGTTCAATTTTTTTCATATCTTGATTAAAAGCTATATTTTTTTCTCTGCATTTCTATTTTTTTGGAATTAGAATTTGGGGCTCTGTCATTTTGAACGTTATGGTATGAGGCATTATTAAGCACAACCACAGAGTTAGGTGGAAGATTCGGTACTAGACGTTCTTTTAGCCACTTTTCATAGTTTTCTGCGTTCATGTTAGAGTGGTAATCACCAGAAACACTATTTGCTTTGTATGTCAATAGTGCGTTAGGTACGAAACCTTGTTCTGAACCAGCATGCACAATGATAATTCTTTGTCCTTTCGACAGGTTTCTCTTTAAAGGTGGTCCATCTTTATTACCCCATCCTTTGTTTTGCACATGATTAGTTAAGATGTAGCTCTCATCTGTATATACGATACACCGATTTTCTTGACGGTATCTGAGTAAATTTTTTAGGTAGGAAATTCGTAGTTTTTGGATGTCATGCCGCTCTATAATAACACGTCTGTTATCCACAGTTTTTCGCCATTTTTATCCCAACTTTAACAAAGCTGTACGCAGAGTTGAAATACTTCCATCATAGTTAAGTTTATCTTGAAATATTCTTTTCAACTTTAGCAAGGTAGGTAACTCGCAATGTTCTAAATGGTAATTTTGAATAGTGGAACGTATAACATCAACGTTAAAGTTGTCTAATTCTAACTTTTTAAACGTTTTTTACGGTCTTTATGCGGAGATTTAAATTTAGAGACAGATTCTTTTCCTTCAGCCAATATATTAGTAATTGTTCTCTCTGATACCCCCACTGCCATTGCTGTTCTTTTCCGTACGCTATTTAAATGTTCACTTAATTTCGATATTAAAATTGGACTTGCACTGCAAACTGGATCACTTACTAGTTCCAATATATCTCTCGCATCTATTTTCAGAAATTCGTATACCTTGGCAATGGTTTCTCGAGTCTAAAACAATAATACGTAAACGTATTACGTAATAAATATTAATTACATCTAAATTTAAAAAATATTTACCTGACTCCTTAAACAGAAGAAGAAACTGACGAATCTGAAGAACTAGACATTTTCGTAAACGACTGTACCCTTAAGAAAATACGATAAGAACACGTCTTTCATTCGTGTGGCAGTGACGACTGCCGCGTCACTGCCACACGAATGAAAGTTGTATATTTACAAGCCCACGCACACATAGGGCCGCGCGCATAACTGAGTTGAACTATCTATAGGGTTGTGTAATTAAATTGTCCCTACCCTTGTCAAATAAAATAAATAATAATGATAAGTAAACTTTACTACACATTATACATTTGTACAAAAAATTAGGCAGCTAATTGTTCAGCGCTTCAGCCGAATGCTAACGAATATTTATTATTGCGCAAAATCACTATTCGTACATAGTATTTAACACATTCTTATTCGGCAAGAACTTTCAATACCTTTCTTTAAAAAAAAGTTTATTTCAAAAACTTAATTCATCTACAGATCAAAATCTATATAATAATAAAATAACTAGACTCAAATCACGTCTTGGTATCAATTTATTTTGAATATGAGCGAATAGAACACCTCACGTTATTTTATTATTTACAAACGTAATTAATTTAGCTTATATCCGCACTCTTCAAAGATAGCATCCCAAAACTTAATCTCATCATCATCGGGTGCAGTTCCAGGGACGAACTCATTGCCAATGTCCAAATAATCTTGCTTCTCGACTGTGTAATTTGCCCATTTCACTCCTAAAGATTCATCTGGAGTTGGATTTCTGAAATCACGATATTTTATAATTCTTTTAGCACATAACAAAACAGAAAAAAAATGTAAGGTGAACATTTCCTCTCAAACACATCATTCATCATCATCATCATCATTAATAACCTTTACTAGTCCACTGCTATACATAGGCCTCTCCTTAGAAAAGGAGTTTAGGCCAATCGGGTTGGTATAGGGTTTGTTCCAAGTTTTCCTTCTCTTTGCATGGTGGGTGGTGCCACTCTGTATTCTTAATTCATCACCACACAGACACCTTAATGTTACTTAAAAGAAATGTTATGGTTTGTTGGCTAAGGTAAATAGATTGTGACGGTTATGATTCCTTTCACTTTATATATGACTAGCTGACCCGCGCGATCTAACACTAAGAATTTTTCAAATCGGACCAGTAGTTCCTGAGATTAGCGCGTTCAAACAAACAAACAAACAAACTCTTCAGCTTTATAATATTAGTATAGATTCGAGCTCCTGCGAACCCAAATGTAACAAGACACGATACCCCCTTAGGTTGTCAGTATGTTGTTGCCATTATAGGACACAGGTACCAGATGAAATCAATGCAATATTTATATATGCATTTATATCAGTTGTCTAGTACCCATAGTACAAGCTCTGCTTAGTTTGGGACTAGATGGCGTTGTGTGTATGTGGTAGAATATATTATTATTATTATAATCTGAATCTCGGAAACGGCTCCAACAATTTTCAAGCTCGGTCATCCAGGTACTAATATATTTGCATAGTATAAAATAAAGTCGCTTTTTTGTGTTGTACGCTTAGATCTTCTAAACTAAGCAACGGATTTTAATGCGGTTGCCACCAATAAAGAGAGTAATTTAAGAGAAAGGTTTTAAGTGTGACATGCATATTATAGTATAGATGTGAGTAAGTGTGAGTTCGCTACAAGCCCGCCGTAGAAGGTATGATCTCCTTTGCCTCCACAAAATTATTCACTCCACTATCGATGCGCCTGGTCTGCTGTCTGCAATCTCTATTTACACCAGACACAGGTCACGTTGTCCCAATGTGTTTTTAATACAAATTTATAAAAATAACACCTCATTCTTTAACCCGATAGTAAGGATGTGTCGCACATATAACGAGCTGAATCGGATTAGAGACGTGGATGTATTTAATGACAGATTCTCCCAGTACAAGAGGGTCATAACACACATAATAAATGCTCAATGTTCGTGGTAGGTATTTCTTTTCTTTTCTTTTTTGTTAATAATTTCGTTTTAATTTAATTTTACTTATGTTGTGGATACATGAACTTGAGTAGTGTTGGTGATGATTAAGCGTGGCTAGCATTTGTATTTGCCATATGCCTTGTATTTTGCCATCTTGCCATTTCATGTTGTGTAAGCTACATTTGGATTACTGTCTAGACTTTATATGTATCTATCATCTGTTTCCTGTAACATGTAATGGCAGTAATCTGTAAGTATACCTTTTAGAAATAAATAAATAAAATAAATAGATCAGCCGAGAATTTCAAAGATTTGTTGTATAATACATGTTTTATGCGCTTACATTGCAAACGCTGGCTAAACCTTAAGTGATAGATCTAAATAGTGTACCACAGAATTGTATATATTAAAAATAACCTCAAAAAAGTCCGCGATGGTATGTCTGTCTTCTAAGTATAACCCATAGCAACCATTTTTATCTATTAAATATTACAAAAAAACAATGGGTTGCTTACGAAGTCATTTTAAGCAATACATTATTATTCCTTAGTAAATTAAATACGTTAGATGCGTTGTAAATTCAATATAGATTAAAATTGTTCTTTACAGCATATCATTAAATTGAATATTTTAGAAGATATTAGAGGTTTAACATGTGGGGGCCCAACGACCGGCAAACCGTACCGTCCGTGCCGGGCAGGATCGGAGCGGGCCTACAAAGATTGCAATGAAAGTCCCGAGTATAATAATATACAGTAGTAGTACAATAATAGTTCCATCATAATAATAGTTTAATTAAATAATCCACACAGACATCCCATTAGTAGTATTAGTAGAATCTACTGGCGGATAGTTAGTATTTTATAAAAAAAAGCAAAGATTATGTAAGAACATGTAACAAAATCAATCATGGTGTCAATGTGCTCTCAAACAAAACAATCTTACCCATATTTGGCAAAGTTGGTCCAAAGTTTGATGACTTTCTCCATAAACTGGAATGTTTCAGAGTTCTTATCAACTTTATTTGGCAATAACTTGGCATTAAATAAGTAAAATATATCGTCAATGTGACATGTCACTGGTTTGTCTTTAATGATTTCCGTAAGGCCTAGTATGTGGACGAAAACATTTCTCTCAGACTTGCAAGTGAATTTGTATAAATACGCTTTGTCCTTCTTTGCACAAAGTCTAACGAAATTAACTATACCGTACACAAACATCTCCATAGAATAGAACTTCTTTAATTGTTCCCAACTATCCAAAAAATCAGTTTTGTCATTAAAATAATATTTTTTTATTTTTTTTCCGACCTCCACTTTCTGATCTGGAGTTAAATTAAACGACAAAAGCTGCGGTGAAAAAAGTTCCATGTAGTCTCTTAACATTTCCAACTTAGTTTGGACAGTCTCGGCGGGTCCCATAAAAACAAAACCTTCATCTGCAGTATATCCAACCATTACTTCGACTCCCTCATGTACTGAACCGAAATCTCCAGCAAAATATTTTTCATTTTCATCAATATTTTTTTCTTCTACTACGCTAAAAAACATGACCATCGTGTTTTTTTCCGATAGTAAAATTGGTGCAGAGACAGCTGTAAGGGACTCAATCGGTTGATTTTTAAAGAATTCATATAAGTCAGAATCATCTTCAGAGAAACAGCCGAGCTTTTTCGCTAACGTCATTGCTCTGTCACGAGGTTTGTGTTGTCTTGCCCAAGGACATAAAGTGGTACCACTCTGGGTAATGGCCCTTTGGAATAGACCTTTCGTCATTGGCGATACAAGATGGTAGCTGACGCTGGCACCGCCGGCGCTCTCACCAAATATCGTGATGTTGTTTGGATCGCCGCCGAATTGGGATATATTTTTATTGACCCATTTTAAAGCTTCCACTTGATCTTTAAGACCTGCATTTCCAGGTACATCTTTATTTTCTAGGCAAAGAAAACCGAGTACTTCAAGTCTATAATTGATGGTGACTATAACTACTCCATCCTTGACTAAGAATTCAGGGCCGTACAAGTCGTCTTCTCCGCTACCGAAAAGAAATGCTCCTCCATGTATCCAGAACATGACTGGCAGAGGCTTGTCTGGTTTAACATTTGGTGTATACACATTGAGATACAAACAATCCTCGCTGCCCTCAACCTTTTTAGTTAGAAGATCGAATTGAACACATTTCGAGCCAAATTGTTTCGCATCGCGCACTCCAGCCCATGGTTTTGGTGGTTTTGGAGCCTGAAAAATGTAATTTGTTTTTTTATTTATTTACCCTATATTATGTCAACAATTGTTGAAGTGCAACGTATAAGGAAGAAAACACAAGAAACAATGGAGGAACATTTGGTACATACCAATAATAAATTAAATAATATAATATATCTCACACATCTCACACACGGCCGTCTGATCCCAAACTAGGCAGAGCCTGTACTATGGTACCCAGACTGCTGATAAACATACTTATATATTTTTAAATACATACATATTATAGATAAATTACACCCAGACACAGAACAAATGACCGTGCTCATCATACAATATTTGTCCTGGGTGGGAATCGAACCCACAACCTCTGGTTTAGCAGTCAGGGTCACTAACCACTGGATCAACAGGCCCGTCTTAATAAGAACTTGACACACCTTATAATTACAAGGTCGTCAGACCTAAAACAAACTCTACCCGCCCATATTATGAAAACCAGACTGCTGATAAACATTTTTTTTTTTTTAAAGACAACTCCCGCAGTAGGAATACATTCCTGTGTCGCGGGGGACTTTACAAACATATATGAAACGGACACAAAGAACACCCAGACTCAGAACAACAATTTGTGGATCACACAAAGTGTCGTTCCATGTGGGGTTTGAACCTACAACACTCGGCGCAGTAGGAAGCGGCATGGCGACCGCTTAAACCACTACGCCATCCGTGCAGTCACTTATAATCTATACTAATATTATAAAGCTGAAGAGTTTGTTTGTTTGTTTGAACGCGCTAATCTCAGGAACTACTGGTCCGATACAGTGTTAGATAGCCCATTTATCGAGGAAGGCTATAGGCTATATATCATCACGCTAAGACCAATAGGAGCGGAGCACCAATGAAGAATGTTTCAAAAACAGAGAAAATTTATTACTATTGAGAGACGCAGACGAAGTTGCGCGGGTCAGCTAGTATATAAATACACACATATTATTTAGATAAACTACACCCAGACACAGAACAAATGATCGTGCTCATCGCACAACATTTGACGCTGGTGGAAATCGAACCCACTTTGGCTTACCAGTCCAGGTCATTAACTATTAAACCAACAGGATCCTCAACTTGCGTTCTAATTACGTTATAACATATTTCTCATTTGTTATCAAGTGGTATCAATAATTAAGACATTAATATATCAGAACGAGACGTGAAATGATGTAGGACTAAACAGTTGTCTACTATATCTTACACTATATAAAAAACCAGTCAAGTACGTGTCGAGCCATGCCCAATGTATGGTTCTGTAGTTATTTACATATTACTCGTAAACATAAAGTCTACTTAGCTTTAATAGTTTTCTTTTTAAATTTGTTTAAGCTAATACTCTCACAAATGGATACCTTAATCAAAATACTGTCTTCTCATCATCATCATCCTATCGCAGTCCACTGCTGGACCTCTCCCATCGCACGCCACTTAGATCGACATTCGGATTCTCGCATCCAGCCCCTGCCCGCCATCATGCGCAGATCGTCACTTCACCTGGCCTGTGGGCATCCTACACTACGTTTGCCTAGATGCGGTCTCCACCCAAGAACTCATTAACCCCAACGGTTATCGGTTCTGCGGCTTATATGGCCAGCCCACTGCCAGCTTCAGCTTGCTAATCTAGTGGGCTATGTCAATGACCTTCTTTCTCTGCCGGATCACCTCATTAATGATGCGATCCCTTAGAGAAACACCAAGCATATCTCTTTCCATAGCACGCTGAGCGACTTTAAGCTTGTGGTCCGTAATCGGCTCCGTAAATCATGACGGGTAGGACGCACTCATTGAAGACTCGTCTTTAGGCACTGTGGAATCGACGATGAGAAGACTCCACGTATCTTTTCAAACGCTGCCCACTTCGTCCTCGAAGTTGTTTCTACCTAACTGCAATGTCTGCCCGAGGTACACATATTTTTGTACCACTTCGAGAGCGGAACCGTGTAGTGCAATCGGTTCCGGTAGTACATGTGCATTGAACCAGACCTTGGTTTTATCCAAGTTCATCCGTAGGCCGATGCGTATAGGAGAGTCATCTAGGTCGTTCAGCATCTGCTGTAGGTCCTGCAGCGTCTCTGCCACAATGACGATGTCGTCTGCAAATCGTACGCCCTTTCCAGTGTACCGGCTTGACCTCCATTGCATTTGTGAACAATTTCGGGGAAATAACGTCCCCTTGTCTCACACCTCGATGCAACGGTATGGGCCTTATTTGCTGATTCTGTACTTGAACGGACATGGTGGCGGCTTCGTAGACGTAAGCTCATCACTTGGATATATCGCCAATCTACTTGGCAACGCTACAGGGACTCCAGAACAGACCAGATTTCGATCGAGTCAAAGGCGTTCTCATATTCGACGAATGCTAGACACAGGGGTTGATTATACTCTTCGGTCTTCGGTATGGATATGGTCTATGGTACCACAACCGCTCCGAAACCCAGCTTGCTCTGGTGGTTGGAATTCGTCGAGCCTTCGCGCCTGACGGTCCGTGATAACTGTTGAAAACAGCTTGTAGACGTGGGGGAAATGGATCGATAGTTCTTCAGCATGGTCTTGTCACCCTTTTTGAAGAACAGGACGACCACACTTCTACTCCACGCCTCCGGAGTTCTCCCTTCGAACAGGACCGCGTTAAAAAGCTTTTGGAGCTCCCTCAGTACAGGAAAAATATTTTTCAATATTTTATTTTGCCACTTTGTCGCCGTCATTAGTATGTATGTTCATGCGAAATTAGAGGTTTCCAGCACTAATAGTCTGTGAAATATAGTGTAGACAAACGGAAGGACGGGCATGAAGAATCTATAAGGGTTCCCTTTTTTGCCATTTTGGTTACGGAACCCTAAAAAGGTTAAGTTGGTTTGTGAAAAGTTCTGCACCGATTGAGCTCTTTAGAGACGAAATTTAACTAAGTTCAAAGATTCTTTAATTTTTTTATTAATGCAACCACAATGTTTATGTACAATATTTATTATGGGTCTTCTTTAGAAAGTAGATTTTGGCCTAATATATATAGAGCTGGCCAGACACCCATCTAGTCAGCGTGCTATATTAGGCCAAATACTTAGGTATAATTTTGACGAATGAGTTCTCTAAACAAAGACATATGTGTAGTTTGACCTTGAATGGTACGAATGGAATTTTTGTATATACTGTAATAATTTTGAGTTAATTTATTCCGCGCGCTTTTTTAGACCACTCTGTTGTAAAGTTAATTGCTGGAAATAACAAAAAACCGTACAGTTAAATACACATATTTATTTATATTTGCTATCTTTTTCATTATTTCTCATTCCAAACTACATTAAGTTGTAAGACATTTATAAAGCCCTTTATTTTTGTACCTCAATCGATAGCTTTAAAGATAAATCCTTTTAAAAAAAAAGTTGAACCGACTTCAAACAATACTGACGAAGAGCACTAAAAATTAAAAAATATTTACAAATCTAAGTAAACAAAAACTGTAATAAGTACACTCAATATAACAGGTAACATTATTATAGCAATAGTCCCTTTTTAGCTCGTTCAGCATGTTTTGCGCAGCATGAAGACTGTTGCAGCTGCCCCGCTACATTCTACCAAACCTATCAAGCACCTATTTGGGTTGGCACCGACTTCAAACAGACTAGAAGGGACTATTGCTATTATAATGTTACCTGTGATATTGAGGGTACTTATTTTAGTTTTTTACTTAGATTTATGATTATAATTTTTTATATTTCCATATACAAATTTACACTCTTACAGTTATGACAAATGTAAAATGCTAATATCCATTAAGTCGTTTAGGCTACAGAGCGTGCCAAATAAAAATACATTGCATACATAACTAGAAAAACAGAACCCAGTCGGGTAAAAATAAAATAACAAACCAGACCAACATTATTATGCAGACTTTGAATTTCATATTTTCTTCCACCATTGTAATTTTTTTTCGCATCAGGAATGAGGTGATCCGGCAGAGAACCAAGATCATTGACTTAGTCCACCGGATTAGCGTGTGCGTTACCCCAGCAAAATAATGTCGAAAATGGTCATTTAAACGTTATAGATAATTAGTTGCTCCCCTTCTGTAATTGTTAAGCACATTTTTAAATTTGTTTCACTTAAACTTTTTTAGTTATTTCAAAAAAACATTTCCTGCTGGGGTAACGTTTGAAACGTTACCGCAGCCAGACATTTTCTTTTTTAATTGTAATATTGAAATAAATTTTAGCTAAATAATTAGTTATCTGGACTAGGTAAATGTTACAACTTATTTGGTATTTGTATTTTCTTCGGCTGCGAAGTTATTCGAAATCCTGCTGGAGTAACGTTTGTGGGTTTGCTGGATCTCTGAAACGGGTAAGCGGATTGTTACTATCTTTTGTACATAACTTCTTAAGGATTAGTTTTCATTTGTTCGACAATAAAATAACAAAAATAATGGACCGTTTAAAAACTATTTAGGTAAGTATGAAAACACTTAAATACGTCCTAACACTTTAAATAAGACCTCTTAAGACTTACTTGAAACGTTATTCTATTGCTTGTAACTACCTTCAAATGTATACGAATTTTCGTAGGAATACTGTAAGTGACTAAAAAGTTATGATGAAATGTAGCTCTCCACGTTCACGATCAAAATGTATGCGGCCTTTTTTGGCCACCGATAAACCTGTGTGTGGATATATAAACTGAATGTTATGCCAATAATTAGTTGTTTAGTTCAGTTGTCTACCTGTAGAATTTCAGCGTCGTACATATAATAATTTACGAAATAATTAAATAAAAGTCATTAGAAGGTGCAAGTCCGTGGTAATCCGACCATGTTTAGGTGGTAACAATAAAGCGATCACCCAGTACATTGCGCTGTCTTTTAAAATGTTTAGTGTAATACACCTTACGATTTCGGTACAGTTGCGTACAGTGTTAAATACATTCAATATTTATTCATTATTATTACCTATTATTTATTTTGTTTTTTTCCCTAATTGATCTTACGCACTAGTTTCTTTACTTAAAATTAATTTAGTCTTTTTTACTACCGGAGCTACAATCAACAGAAAATCTGCACTGGTCCGCTAAAATTATAAATATGTAGATACATGTATGAACGATTCACCTGACTGCAATAAAACTAAAATTTAAACCAATAAGAAATCGTTTCATTTCTTTGATTTTTTTTTTGTAAAGAAATAACACTAAAGTAATTGTATTTTATTTTGGGGTGTATAGAGCTTAGACTTGAATGCATCAAAATATTTAAAGCAACAAGTTATCTACAATAAGTTAAAATAGACCGAATAGTAGAAGAATAAATTAGAATAAATTAGAAGAAGTTGTAAATTAGAATGCATCAACATTGCATCGCCCAACAGACGTGTACCTCGTAAGAGTAGGTAATATTGTTCTGTGGTCTATACCTAGAACCGAGAATTATCTATACCTATGTACCTAACGTTAAGCGTTGAGCCCGTTACTGTTGATTTCTGTTAAAAACGAACAGTTGTTGAATGATATTTTGATATAATAACGGTAATTTAATTTATCGAGTGAAAGTGATACATTTTTATAGATAAAATTATTGGTCAGATAATATTTGTCAATCAAGAATCGCTGATAATACATCCTTCGCTAGAACGCGGGAGGGGAGGGGCAAAGGGATACTTCATTGTTTGCAATTTGCATCTAGTGCACTAAACTTGACCCTTAGGCAGATAATATACGTGTTGTAAAGTACGTGTGCGCTTCCGCTTTCTATTTTTGCAAATATTTATCGTATTCTTGAGAGTTCTTCAATATGTGTGTACCTAATTACTAATAATAGGCATTAATGCTAATTCGATTCAATTTAAGTAATTGTCAATTCTTGTCTTAGGATATTAATTACTAATGCTAATATTGAAATTTCGTTCAGGGTGAACAAATTAAAAACGATCATAGGTACGACCATCTTTTAGGTAGACAACGATCATCTTTTAGGTAGGTATATCACTTATTACTAATTTTACATAAATAATTTATTTTATTATAATTTAACTCACCGCGATTTTGTGATCAAATATTTTATTTTCTCCAACATTATTACAGAAATAATGCAATACAGAGTTTGTTCGCGATATGCTAGCCTAAGTCGATTCATCACTTAAAAAAATCCCCATCTATTCACAAAATACCTATTTACAACGCATACGTTACACTCTTCAAAACTTATCATTTCATTTCATATTTCTTAAATTACCTATACCTACCCTAAAATTAAACTTCAATTAACAAATACTACGCAGGTACCAATTCTATGAACAACTATAAACAATTCACCTAAACATTACGAGAAAACAAAAGCATTCAAAATAATACCTAATCTCCCGGCTGATTACTAATTATGCAATAAACAATCCTAAATAAAAAATATTTAAAAAACATGTAGTTTTTTTGTAACACTTATGTACATATCCGTAGTAAACTTGCAAATAATATCCTACATATTTTAAAAGCCAGCACAATGTACTGGGTGATCGCTTTTTTGTAACCACCTAAACATGGTCGGGTTACCACGGTCTTGCACCTTCTAATGACTTTTATTTAATTATCTCGTAAATTATTATATGTACTACGCTGAAATTTTACAGGTAGACAACTGAACTAAACAACTAATTATTGGCATAACATTCAGTTTATATATCCACACACAGGTTTATCGGTGGCCAAAAAAGGCCGCACACATTGTGATCGTGAACGTGGAGAGCTACATTTCATCATAACTTTTTAGTCACTTACAGTATTCTTACGAAAATTCGTATACATTTGAAGGTAGTTACAAGCAATAGAATAACGTTTCAAGTAAGTCTTAAGAGGTCTTATTTAAAGTGTTAGGACGTATTTAAGTGTTTTCATACTTACCTAAATAGTTTTTAAACGGTCCATTATTTTTGTTATTTTATTGTCGAACAAATTAAAACTAATCCTTAAGAAGTTTTAATTTGTTCGACAATAAAATAACTAATCCTTAAGAAGAGTCTTAGCAGACCGGAAATCAGAATGGTTGTCGGAACTATTACAGGACATCTAGCCCTGAACCGACAACTATTCATAGTCAATGCGACGGACAGCCCCCTGTGCAGGGGGTGTCTGGAAGCTGAAGAAACGGCCGCCCACGTAGTCCTGGAATGCGAGGGAGTGGCCACACAACGGGCAAATATCATTCCTGATATAAAGTCGCTCCTAGAAGCCTGTGAACGCCCCAGGAGGCTTCTGCGCTTCTGGAAGGAGCTTGGCTGGCTCACCTAGTCAACCAATCCCCGACGCATAAAGGACCACTCTGAGTCTAAATGCGGAAACCGAGGCCCACAACCAATACCAATACCAAAAAAAAAAATCCTTAAGAAGTTATGTACAAAAGATGGTTACCATCCGCTTACCCGTTTCAGAGATCCAGCAAACCCACAAACGTTACTCCAGCAGGATTTCGAATAACTTCGCAACCGAAGAAAATACAAATACCAAATAAGTTGTAACATTTACCTAGTCCAGATAACTAATTATTTAGCTAAAATTTATTTCAATATTACAATTAAAAAAGAAAATGTCTGGCTGCGGTAACGTTTCAAACGTTACTCCAGCAGGAAATGTTTTTTTGAAATAACTTAAAAAGTTTAAGTGAAACAAATTTAAAAATGTGCTTAACAATTACAGAAGGGGAGCAACTAATTATCTATAAAGTTTAAATGACCATTTTCGACATTATTTTGCTGGGGTAACGCACACCGGATTAGCAAGCTGAAGTGGAGGTAAACTGGCCATATTAGCGCCAGAAACTTACCCCATATTTGAAATCATATAAAATTTCAGTTCATCAATAAAAAAGACCCACAAAAAATGGAAAATTAATGTCTGTACCTTGAAGCGGAGGTTTCCGACCGGCGGTTGAGCATAAGGAATGCCTTTAAAACTGTAGAATGTGCCCCCATACTCGTTCTGCACCAATTCTCCCTCCAACAAGCCCTCACTTACGTTTACACGCACCATCTTCTATTGTTAGACGTGCGCACAACAACAACTCTAAAACGATACTAAAAATAAGCAGAACCCTATTTGAGGTGTTATCGTCTAATAAATTATTGACGAAGTTAGTTTTTAACCCACTTTTGTTAATGAAATTATTCAAATGCCGCTAGCTGTGCCGGTGACTGCGTCTGCTTTGAATTAAGTGTTAACTTGCACTCTTTACTAATCTAAATATTCAAAGTACGGCACACAATTTATACGTGTAGAGGAACTATTTTCATATCGCGCATAATATAAACACTAGAAACTTTTGTAGCCAACGACTAGAATACAGAAAGTAAGCAAGTCTTTTCAATATCAGGGTGTACTCGTACTGCTCGCTTCCAGAGAGCAGAGGGAACATGGGGTTCCCACACGGGGGAGGGTCGTCTACTCGTCTGTAGATGGCCCGAGGTATGTCGGGGCACCAGGGACTTCCTTTCTAGGGTATACCTGGTTCCCCGGCTATTAGTACCCGAGACGGTGTGCGGTTTTAGTCGGTTCGAGTCCGACATGCCACCGATAGGTGGTATCCGAGGGGATTTCCGCACGGAAAAAAAAAAAGGGTGTACTCGTACTATTCTACAATAAAATTCCAAGTAAATTTCTTCAGGAATTAAGTATTAACAACGTAAGTTCTTAATAAAACAAAAGCTATGTGAAAAAGATTACTACGCAGTTACAAATTATTTAGATGACAAATTTGCTTGGGATTGGTGGTGCTTACTCCCGACTCAACGTTTCTATTTTTACTGTTATGTTTGAAAGTAATGGACATTTAATTTATTCTTGTATTTCGTGTTTCGTTTGTTTTCAATTTGGTTATTTTTTCCTTGAATTTGAATTGTATAGTATATTTTTGTACATGTGAGTTTAGTCTAGAGTCTAGTCTAGTTTAGTCTCATTTATAAACTTTCTGGTAGTTTCAGTGTTTCCACGGCCTACCCAAATGTCCTGCTGGCGGTAGTGTCTCGCTTCGGGTCGTTGATCTTGCCTAATATCGACGGTTAAACTGCTCGATGGCTGGACATGGTATGGACAGGCCGACTTAAAACTACAGTCCTTTCTTTAAAATTCCACCCCAGACCCGATACTGAAATCGCATAGTATTCTTTAAAATTGTTCACGGACTAAAAAAGACACCTCTGTATTTTGTTTTGGCGTTTCTTCCCAGAGTGAGTGTTAGGAAATACAGGCGCCATCTAACTGCGAATGCTGATGTGTAAAAATATCTGAAAATATTTACTTACAGAAATAAATTTCATTTATCATTTAACCGTAAGTATGTATAATTTATAGCACTTAGTATTAATTGTTGCATTATTTTTATACATTATTTTGTTGCTTTTCATAGAGTGATTGAGGTTAGATGGGCCTAAACTGGCCCAAACACTCCCTTGATTCCGTTGGATTGGGAGAGGGGAGGTCATACCCAACTAGCAAAATATATCGTAAAAATGCCAGCAGCACGTTTCGATTTCAGCTATTGGTGGTGAGATGGATCTTCAAAATGTCGAATAAATGATCTGTGCATGTTCTCTCAACGCGATTTGGGCGCACTTCTCTCTGCTTTAAGTGATGTAAATATCGTAAGATTATCGTCTGAATAGCCAAATAGTCGAAAGAATATAGAGTAATCGCAACTCAAAAGTTACTAGTATTATATTAATCATCGGTATGCCATTTTTCAACACATTAGCTTTTCCCAAGTCGGTAGAAGGTCTTTCATTCGACAAATTTATTGTAATATAGCAGAGCGGTTGCAATCACTCGACTCTTTGATCGTGTGAATGAAACCAAGCAGCATTCATAGATCATTTTATTTATCATCAAACCGGTACGATCAGTGTTTGTGAAAAGAAATAAAATAATTAATGAAGTATTAAATTTTGCCATATATTATTTGTGCTATACATTTTTAGTCATATTGACATTCGTGACCTAAAGTTAGCTCAAAGGTGTTACTTTCATATGCGGGGTTAAATTTTTCGTCTATATTCCTTACATTTTAGTTAATACTTTCATGGGCCGTAAGATTTCTTAGTAAATAATGAATTACAAATAATATTAGTTTAATAGTTTAATCTAATTCGCCATTAATAGCAATTCACTTATCATCACAAAGCATTCACTCGGTTTTTAGCTGAGAAATAGAAATGAGGTTTCAACTTTACGACTTCTAGGACCGCCATAATTGCAGTTAGTTTTGGGGTTCCTTAGCGCAAAATGTTAAATCCTTAATATTAGATAAAATTAATACTGTTATTAATACTCCAGAGGGATTTAAAAGAAAATTAAACATAAACAAAATATTTTACTTAGTGATTTTTATTAAATGAGTGACTTTTTAAAATATTTAAGTGGCAATTTAAATGGTTTACCACCATTAGTTAAGGGGGAACCTTCACGGCAGCTCGCGAAATTCATTTTCACACAACCCTCACAGTGCATACAGCTCGATTGGATGACTTTTTCATGAAATAGACAATCAATCGAGTTATATGCACTTTGAGGGCTGTTTTGATGATTTAAATTATTATTTCAGTCCTAATTTTTGTTTTAATTCTGAGATCATTTTCAAGATCTTTTATTTCCCTCACAAACTGTTATAAATATTTATGTAAGTCCGATGGTTTTTCTTGACCTGCATATATTTCGACAACTAGTGGCGACAGTGTCGGTATTTCTAGTATCTTACACAATATTGGCCAAAATTGAAGTTTTGAGCTTTTATATACTGGCAGGCCGTCAATGTTTACAAGCAGAGTCAAAACATCAGAATTGCAATCAATAATTTCTAAACATTTTTGCAAAGGTTCTGTTAATCCGTTATGGCAGTAAAATTCAGAGCCAACAGTTGATACATTAATCTTTGATGTATTCGTATTCAAAATAGACCGCGGATCTTTTGGCAGTAAATTAGGAATCCTTTTATTAAAAATTGTTGACAATTTTCTTAAGGCATCATGAGAAATGTGGAATTGGAGCGCCCACTCTTTAAAATTAAAACGAAACTCATCATTTAAATTTTCACTGTCCTCGGACTATGAATTATAATTGTCATTATCACTACTATCAGAATCAGAGTCTTGATCAGCGGAGATATTTTCGAAATTAGAACACACTTCAGCTGAAGATTCACAAATTTCATAATCAGTAGATGTGTAAATATTTCCTACAGAACCCGCACTTGTATTATTTGATCGCTCTTCATCTGTGGTTACTGCCAATGTAGATGTTGATTGTTTGAATCGTGTATAAATCTTGTTTATTGTGTCGGAACCCTCTTCTTTTAATTTTTTTCCACCGATTATAATCCATTTTCACAAAATAAAGCAATACGGTTGTTGTAACAAAATGGCGTTTACAGTGCTGTAAAAGATTTTATTCAACTTTCATACCACAATTATGCTGTAAGACGGCTTTCAAATGATGTCTAGAGCACCTTTGGGGCTGTAATAGATAATTTTAAAGCGTTTTCTCAACTTCAAAAATTAAGCGGAATGAAAGCCTTGTAGAAAGCTATTATATGACATTAAGTGCCGGTATAGTAACTGAGATGCTATTTTGTCGAATAAGCCGCATTTACTATGTAATTATGCTGTAACAAATACATGTCGAAAGATAGTGCTATAAAAGCGTTGTATGAAGGTGATCGAGAGATATCTTTATATAATTATCGAGTAAATTCGATATGAATTCGTCGAGTACACGTTTACTAGACATGTTTATAGAGACAAAAAGCGTTGAAGGCTAAAATATCTAGACAGCTGCTTTTAAACGGCTTTTTGAAATAATAGGATCTTTCATACGAGTGTTTTTCGATCCATAGTCGTGAGAGTAATTGCTTATACGATCTCTTTGCTAGTTGGGATAACTCTCTGACCGAAGTGGCTTGCGGGACATGGTGGCATAATAATCCGTAGAATGAAACCGCATGTCACGACATGCTGCCTCGACCCACAGCATGCCATGACGTGCCGCGGTATAATTGTATCAAAATAAAGTACCTAATTTGTATTCTAAACTCATTGAAAAGAAACTTGATCATAAATAAAATTCATAACCACCCCACCGGTCGTCCGGTGAGGCAGTACCGTCTTTACTATAAGGGCACACGGGGCCCTTGCCTACCAACACGGGAAAAAATAAACACTATACGTACATCTAAAGGAAACTTTGAATAATTTTTAGGGAATTATGAACAAGACAAGCTTGTTCACAGATTACATCTAACCATGGACGTTGCAACAAAAATTTGATCGAATTTGCCAATAACGTATGCAACAATTGCTACAGAATAAATCCAAAGAATTCACAGCACACACATTTTTGAAGGATTATTCAGGGACTATACAGAGTATACAGTTGCATGGTAAAGAAAAAGTTCGTGTATATACGTTTACCCTTCAACGTTTACCCGTCTTTACATTTTCAATGCACATTTGCAATTGGCAGTATGTCAAGAAATTACAATCACTTTATTTTTCTTTCTTAATAACAACAATCAATTTCGAAGACATAAATGCATATGAGCTTAAATCAGAATGTTTTCATTTGAGACGCTAATTAAAGAACTTAGTAAAGAAATCAACGGATTTGATATATTGTAAGAACGTAGTTTAAAATGAATTATTGTTTTATGGAAGAGGGGGAAAACGAGTTCATGCAAAGGTTGCCTGATTTTTTTTATCTAAGCTAATATGTTTAAATTGAGAAATTGTCTCTGTCCCAATGGTATCGCAACACCAACGATTGTCAAACGTGTATTGTCAAACGCGACTTACACTGCTTGCTCTACCTGCATTTTCACTCCAATAAATTTTCTTCCCTACTTAAAACGATTACCTGTTAAGATTAGGTTGGCGTCAGCCAGTCAGTGGACCATAAGAAACCAAAGAAATCTTTTGCAAACACATTTCGCCGAACCCAAATAAAATACCTACTGAAAACCTTCGAAATCCTATGTTAACAAAATAATA